CTGCATGGCTCAATAGGTTAAGCCTCTGCCTTCAGCTCAGGTCATGATCTCAGGGTCCTGTGATCAAGCCCCGCATTGGGCTCTCTGCTCAGCAGGGAGGCTGCTTCCCCCTCTCTCTCTGCCTGCCTCTCTGCCTACTTGTGATCTCTCTCTCTGTCAAATAAATAAATAAAATCTTAAAAAAAAAAGAATATGATGACAAATATTTAAATCCCAGGAGATTCTGTAATTCAGAAACTTTAATTATAGCTCAATATAAATAGAAATTAACCACAGAATGGTTTTCTAAAATTTTGCTTGGGAATTAAGAAACAATTTCTCAGATCTAAGAGATAATCAAAATTATTAGGACAAATATGTGAATTTAGCAAAGTCAGTGGATACAAGGTCAGTATACCAAAACCCAACTGTTTTCTATATACTAGCAACAAACCATTGGAGAATGAAATTTTCAAAGACCATTTATAATAGTATCAAAATATTTATGAACACATTTAGCAAGAGATGTATTAAATTTACTAGAAAACATTGTTGACAGAAATTAAATAAGTATCTTTACTCTAATAAATGGAGACATATACTTATGGATTGGAAGACGGTGTTGTTAAGAAGTCAGTTCTTTCCATGTTGGTCTGTGGATTCAATGCAATTTCAATCCTGAATCCTAGCAGGCTTTTTCCTTACTTTTTCTTTTTTAATGTTTTATTTTATTTTATTTATCTCTCTCTTTTTAAAAAAGATTTTATTTATTTATTTGACAGAGAGAGATCACAAGTAGGCAGAGAGGCAGGCAGAGAGAGAGAGAGAGAGAGAGAGAGTAGGAAGCAGGCTCCCTGCTGAGCAGAGAGTCCGGTTCAGGACTCAATTCCAGGACCCCGAAATCATGACCTGAGCAGAAGGCAGAGGCTTAACCCACTGAGCCACCCAGGTGCCCCTATTTATCTCTTTTTAAAAAAGATTTCTATTTATTTGAGAGAGTGGGAGGAGGGACAGAGGGAGAGGGAGAAGCCAGCTCCTTGCTGAGTAGGGAGCCTGATGCAGGGCTTGATCCCAGGATCATGACCTGAGCCCAAGGCAGATGCTTAACCAACTGAGCCACCCAGGTGCACATACTTATCCCTTTGACAGAGAGAGAGCACAAGCAAGGGAAGTGGCAGGCAGAGGGAGACGGAGAGGGAGAAGCAGACTCCCTTATGAGCATGGAGCCCGACAGGTGGCTAGATCCCAGAACCCTGGGATCATGACCTGAGCCAAAGGCAGACACTTAACTGTCTTAACCTCCACCCAGGTGACCCTTTTCTTTTCTGGATATTAAAATATATAGGGGTGCCTGGGTGGCTCAGAGGGTTAAAACCTCTGCCTTCAGCTCAGGTCATGATCTCAGGGTCCTGGGATCGAGCCCCATGACCCACTCCCTGCTTAGCGGGGAGTCTGCTTCTCTCTCTCCCTCTGAGCCATCCACCTCATGTTCTCTCTCTCAAATAAGTAAATAAAAAAAATTTTTTTAATTTTTTTTTTTTAAGATGTGTGCCTGGAACAGTCTGACTCTAGGAATGAAGTTGACTTGATTCAATCAAGTAGTGATTAAAATAATAGGAAAGGTAGTTGGTCTCCCTCCAGATGGGTAGTAGTGAGAGAATAAAAGTTAAAGGAACAAAGTTAGGAATATTTAAAGAATTGAGTGATTTTCATAGGAGTATGGTTGATAGCAGAGTATCAAGCAGATTTTTTTTCTAGAAATTAACAGTTGATTCTTTTTTTAAAAGATTTTATTTGTTTATTTGAGAGAGAGAGAGCATGAGACTGGGTGAGGGGCAGAGGGAGAAGCAGACTCCCCACTGAGCAGAGAGCCAATGCGGGACTCCATCCCAGGATCCCGAGATCATGACCTGAGCTGAAGGCAGATGCTCAACTGCCTTCAGTTGAGCCACCCAGGCACCCCTCACAGCTGGTTCTGTACTTTATATGGAAATGCACAGGACTGGGACTGTGGTGAGTGCCTGAGTGGCTCAGTTGGTTAAGCATCTGCCTTGTGCTCAGGTCATGATCCCACGATTCTGGGATCAAGTTCTGCATCGGGCTCCCTCCTTAGCGGCGAGTCTGTTTCTCTCTTTGTCTCTACCTGCCGCTCTCCCTGCTTGTGCTCTTTCGCTTTCTCTCTGACAAACAAATAAATAAAATCTTCAAAAAAAAAAAAAAAAGCTTAAGATTTGGAAAAAAAAAAGGAAATGCACAGGACTTAGAAAGTCTAAGACAATCTCAAAGAAGAACTCTGAGGGCTTACTGGGATTTCAAGACTAAGCGAGCTACATAAGACAGAGTGGTCAGTGTAAGAAAAGGTAAGTAGGTATCTACTGGATATCCATATGAAAATAAGGTGAATCTGGCCACTGTCTCACACTATATACAAAAATTAATTTGAGATAGATCATACCCTTAAGTACAAAAGCTTCTAGAAGAAAAGAGAAATTCTTCATGACCTTTGCGGTAGGAGATTGTTTCTTTTAAGGTGACACGAAAAACACTAACCATAAAATAAAAACATCTCCACTCATCAAAAGATATTAGAGGAAAAAGGAAAGCCACAACTGGGAGTGTATATTCTAAATATATATATATGGCAAAGAACTCTTATCCAGACATGAAAAATTCCTATATATCAAACAACCCAGGTTATAAAATGGGCTAATTCTCAGGGGAGTGTCTGTCAACAGGCACTTTACAAAAGAAGCTATCCCAATGGTCAAAAAGCACATGATAAGGAGCTTCACATCTCTACAGGTCAAGGACACGCAAAGAATACCGCAAGGAGATATCACTAGACACACAGCAGAAAAAAAGACTGACAAGGGGTGCGCGGGTGGCTCAGTTGGTTAAGTGTCTGCCTTTGGCTCAGGTCGTGATCCTGGGATAGAGTCTCACATCGGGATCCCTGCTCAGTGGGGAGAGCCTGCTTCTTCCTCTGCCTGCCGCTTCTCCCTCAGCCTGCCGCTTCTCCCTCTGCCTGCCACTCCTCCTGCTTCTGCTCGCTCTCCCACAAATAAAAAAATAAATAAGTAACATCTTAAAAAGACTGACGATGCCTAGTGTTGCGAGGGTGTGGAGCAACCGCCACTCACACACCCATTGCTAGTGGAGTATAAAATGGTACAGGCACTGTGCAAAACTGTTTGGTGATCCTTATACAAATATAATCCGTGACCCAGCAGCTCCACTCCTGCGTCTATACTGAAATGAGTTCACAAAAAGACTTTTACACGAAAGTAAACAGCAGCTTTATTCATAGTTGTCCCCAAGTTGGAAACAACCCAAATGTCCATCAACAGGAGAATAAACTGTTTGTATTTATAAATCAAATATTACATAGTGACTAAGAAACAATCAGCACACAAAACAACAGGGATGTTTGAAGAACATTATGCTAAGTGAAAGACGTGAAACGAGCTTTTTTTTTTTTTTTAAAGGATTTTATTTTGATTTATTCATGAGAGACAGAGGCAGAGGGAGTAGCAGGCTCCCCACCCCCCAGCAGAAAGTCCTGAGAGTCAAGAGAGATCCCAAAACCCTGGGATCATCACCTGAGCCAAAGGCAGACACTTAACTGAGCCACCCAGGCACACCTAAACAAGCTGTTTTTATTTTTATTTTTAAAAAGATTTTATTTATTTATTTGACAGACAGAGATCACAAGTAAGCAGAAAGGCAGAGAGAGAGGGGGAAGCAGGCTCTCCGCTGAGCAGAGAGCCAGATGTGGCCTCGATCCCAGAACCCTGGGATCATGACCCAAGCTGAAGGCAGAGGCTTTAATCCACTGAGCCACGAAGGCACCCAACAAGCTGTTTTTAAATGACGTTCAAAAATAGGTAAAATTAACCTATAGGGCAGAAGTCAGGATAGTGATCCCCTGTTTTCTCTGGAGCCCTGGAAACGTTCTAGGTTTGAACTGGTGGTGGTTACATAGGATTTGTTTTCAAAACATGTGCGTTTTGGGACGTCTGGGGGCCTCCGGTCCTGATCTCTGGGTTTGGGATAGAGCCCTGAGTTGGGCTCTCTGCTCAGCGGGGAGTCTGCTTCTCCTGCTGCCCCTCCCACCCTGCTCATACACTCTTTCTCACTCGCTCTCAAATAATTTTTTTAAATGTGCATTTTGGGGCACCTGGGTTGTTCCGTCCTTAAGTGTCTGCCTTCAGCTCAGGTCCTGATACCAGGACCCTGAGATCAAGCCCCACATCTGGCTCCCTGCTCAGCGGGAAGCCTGCTTCTCCCTCTTCCACTCCCTCTGCTTGTGTTCCCTCTCTCACTGTGTCTCTCTGTGTCAAATAAATAAAATCTTTTTAAAAACGTGCATTTTGCTTCACGTGAACTATCTACACCTTCAATAAAGAAAACAGGAAAAACAAACTACAGATCGTCTGGAAATTTTTAAGAAAAAACACCTCATATGAAACACTAATGGACACAGCTTTAGCCATACTCAGAAGAAGATCTATACTCATTCATTAATCCTGTGATTACCAAAAAATACTAAAAATAAAGAAAGTGTACTTAAGCCAATAAAATATTAAACCAATAAGATAAACAAAAATAGCGTTTAAATAGAGGAAAGTTGAAAGTAAGGAAGTATAAAATGAAACAGTAGAAAAGTAAGTAAAAGAAAATGTTATTTCTTTGAAGGTATGAATAACATAGAGCGACGAACAGGTTTTGAAAATACCTGGGTTCCATCAGCGGTTCTTGTGATTTTTGTCTCGAAACTTCGGTGCTGCGTTCCCATAGCAATGGAACTTGGTGAGGTTCATTCATTTATTACATGTTAAAGAATCTGTTGGACATCGAAATCCTCAAGCCACGGTTTTATGATCTGGTAAGAGAGACCAAGAGGTACAGCAGATTTCAGCTGCTTTGTGCGTGGCAGAGAGCAGGTGCCTGGCCATTTACGTACGTAAATGGGGCACGACGGCTCCCCTAAGGTAGGTACTGCCCTCATCTTGGAGACGAAGTTAACCCAGCTTGGCCGCTCGGGTTGCGGCTGTGAAATCAGGGCTGACCCTGGACTCCGCAGACCAGGAAGGTCGGAAGAAGGGCTCTGGATTCAGAGGCGACTTAGGCGCCTCCGCAGGTGCCCATGGGCTCTCGGTGTCGGGAGCGGAGGCCTGAGGCGCGGTCCCGTTAGGCCTGCGGGATGGAGCGGGCAGGTGCAGGCCCCGAGATGCGCGCGTGCGCGGGGGCGAGCTGGGTCTGTAATTTGCAGCCCGGCGACAGCCAGGTGCAGCAGGCTGGGTGGCGGGCGCGGGTGCAGCGCCCCCTGGGCGGGCCGGTGGCTGGCGGGCGGGGGCGCGCGCGGGGGGTGCCGCTCGGGGGCGCGCGCGGGACGGCGGGGACGCGCGGGCGCTGAGGCCTGCGCGCCCGGCTGCGGGAGCCATGCGGCGGGCGAGGAGCAGCGCGGCCCCCAAGCCACGCGGGCAGAAGCGACCCGGGGCCTCCGGGACCTCCGGAGCCTCCGCGGCCGCCCCCTCGGCCCCCAGCGCCAGCCGCACCCGGCGCTCCGCGGGTCAGGCCGGGGGCGACAGCCGGGCGGCGGCGAGGCAGCCGTCGGCGAAGCGGCGGCCGAGGCAGTCGTCGCCGCGGGCCCAGGAGGCGGGCCCCGGGCAGCCGCCTCCGGAGCTGCCGCCGCCGCCGACCCCCGCCACCCCGGCTACCACTCTGCCCGACCTGGGCGACCAGCGGGAGCGCTGGGAGACGTTCCAGAAGCGACAGAGGCTCACCTTCGAGGGCGCCGCCAAGCTGCTGCTGGACACCTTGTGAGTGCGGCCGGGCACGGGAGCCGGCGCCACGCAGGCCCCCTCGGTGCGGGAGCGGCTGTCGCGCGGGCCGGACCGGCTCTTCCAGTCTGCTTCGTTCCCGCACCCGGACCGACGCGTGGCCCCGCGTTAGCCCCGGGCGCGCCCCTCATTCGCACGGCCGCGTGCCTTGGCTTGGTGCTGCCGTGCGGCCCTGGACCGGACAGGGCGCTGCGCCCCGGGAGCGTGTGGAGAGCCGCGCCGCGTCCTGGGACACAAAGGGTCTGTCCCGGGGACAGCCATCGTGCTTGGGACGCTGTCTCTCCTCTTGGCGCGCCGAAGGCGCGGGGGCCTTTCCCAGTAAGAGGAAGATAAACCCCACGACTTTGCGCCTACCTGACTCGCTTTTTATATTTGCGCACGTGTTTTTTTGGAGAGTGGGTGGGAGGGCGAGGTGGCGAGAGGGGGAGAAAAGCTCGAATAGTTCTGAACCCACCGGGAGGCGAGATCCCGTTATTGTTCCCGGCGCTCCCTCGGAGGGAGCGGGAGTGCGGGGGAGGGGGCATTGATCCCGGGGAGAAGCGCGCGCAAAGAGATGCTCGGTATTCTGAGCAGCGGCGCGGTACCCAAGGGGAGGGGGAGGGGGAAGCCTTGGTTCTCCGCCGAGTGATGCTCCCGGGTGGCTCGCTTTCCTTCGCCCCCAGCTTTGCTCCTGCGGGAGAAGAACCTCCATCTAGGTCCTTAGAGGTCCAGGGGAGGATTTCAGAGTGTCTGGGATATTCGAAATGAGCTATTACCTGGCTAGGGCCGCCGTCTTTTCTCCAAATGTGATAGCATCTAGATCCCTGCCCTGTAGAACAGTTGTGCTACAGAAAAATATTTTAGTGCCCCAATAATCTATCTCTGCGCCCATTATTTTGTGAATTCCAAAGAGCGATCAAAACCACAGCAAAACAACAACAACAACAAAAACAAGGATAACCCAACACTTGCATAACAACCTGAGGGTAACTCCTCTTGAACAAAAACGTTCCTTTGTCCTTAATCCGGAAGAAGTTCTCTTAGGATGAGTCTTCTCGGAGATAAAATACTTGGTTTCCTGTGTGCTTCACTTTCTGACTTAACTTGGGTTTAGGGGCTGGACATTTTTTAATATTCATCATTAAATATATTTGAGCCACCAGTTGCTAAATGTAGGTGGTATAAAGATTCTCAGAAATGTAAAACTCAAATTTGAAGTAAATTTTTACTTTAAAACAAACTTGATAAGTGGTCAAGAAAAAGATTTTTACATGATAAAACACATTTTACATGATAAAAGACAAGATTTTTTTTAACCTATCAGATTGGTGTGAGTGCATACATTTATTTAAATAACCAACCAGAGCTCACTCACTCAACTTACATGCAAAAATGAATGTATAACTCTGCACTCTTTTTGTTGTTGTTATTGTATAGAAAGAAGTCTGGAGGATTATATAGCTAGTAGTCAACTGTGGATCCCTCTGGGTGTTAAGATTATCAGAGACTTTCCTTTTTAACATCATCAAATACTGTAATATTCTAATTTTTTTTTTTACAACGAGCATTATTTGTATATGCAGAGAAGGTTTTAAATATATCAAGGAAACCGATTCAACTTGGAAGAAAACATTCAGTCTTAATAATCAAAAAAATGCAAATTAAAACTGCTGCAAGCTATTTTTCTGGTAATCATTGCTTGAGCAGGTGCGGTGAAATGTTCTCTCATTACTGAGAAGCGTTCAGCCCTTTTGGAGGTCAGTTTGACATTTTTCAAACTTAATAATGTTCCACTAAGGGTCTGGCTTATATATCTTTTAAGAGGACTAAAATAGTATATAATGTGTATGTATAGCTCTGTAAAGAGCCCTGTTTATGCAAAATCCTGGAGGGGAGTATAGCAAAATTCCAAGAGCCTTTCTCAGAAGGCTTTTCCAAACCACCAGACTCAGGATGCCTTGTCTTACTTTTTCATAACAGCCTGTGCTGCCTTTATCACAGTCCCTTAAAGATTGCTTGGGTAATTTGATGACTGCATGAGGTTGGTAAGGCCAGAAACCAGGTCTGCTGTACCTTGTTTATTGCTCGCTCTCTCCCGTGCCTAGCTCTGAAAAACTCTTAGTAGGTTTTTGACATGCAAACAACAATGTTTAAGTGGTAGGATTAGGTCCTTCACCCAACTCCCATGTCCCATGTATCTGGAATGTTTTCTTTCTCACCACTTAACGAAATATGAGAAAGAAAAAAGAGAGGTCAGAGAAAAGGCTCTGAATCCTTTCTTTTATTTATTTCTATTATTTATAATTGCCAGTCCAACCTCAAAAGCAGAAATACGTGGAAGGGGCCGTCGTGTAGAGAAGACTTCTGTCCTATCTTGCTTCCTTCTTCTAACAAGGAGGGAGAGAAGAAGCAGGAGCCGGTCGCCGAGGTCCCTATCTTTCTGATTTTTTTTTTTCCTGGGGTTTCATTTAGCGAGTACCAGGGCCTGGTGAAGCATACGGGAGGTTGCCACTGTGGAGCTGTTCGCTTCGAAGTCTGGGCCTCGGCCGACTTGCACATCTTCGACTGCAAGTGAGTGTTTCTCTCCCCAAGTTGCTGGGAAGGACTTCTTAGTTAAAACGGGTCGCCTCAAGCAGCATCAGGGGAGTCAGGGTACCCATGAAACAGCATCAGGGAGCTGATCATTGTTGGCGTCAGGTGACAGGGACATAAGGGTTCATTGTTGTTTTTTTTTTTTTTTTCTCCTTTTGTATGTGCTAGATGTTTTCAGTAATAAGATTTTTTAAAACATTGGGGGGGGGCTAAAAATAACTTGGCCTACTGTGTGTGTGTGTGTGTGTGTGTGTGTGTGAAAGAGCATTTCTACAGCAGAGCCCCCCAGGGACACAGAGTAAGGTCCCCCAGCTTCTGCCACTCAGCATCACCCCAGACCATACCGTTGGTGGGTTGACGGGGAGTGGTGGTCGCTGGACATAGGTCAGTCTGGGTACTGAATGGGAAGCCTTGGGTGGGCACAGACTTCCTAGGGGTCCAGAGTTGGGCGCAGGTGAAGGGGAAATGAGCGGAGGATGTGCATCCCGGGGAGCTTACCATGTTCCAGGCCCTCTGGCTCTGTTCTCCATGAGGCAGATGGTTCTGCCAGGATCTGTGGAGGGTTTCCTTTGAGTGCCTTCCCAGGCGTTGTGATAGAACAAGGACAGTGACTCCTGAACCAATAGTTAGCATATGACTCATGGTTCACCAGGATCCAGTCCTGTTGTTAGAGAACTCTGTATGAAATCAGGAATTTTTGTCAAGGCGGCCTGAGAAGGGGGTTTAGATTTCATCCCAAAGGTGATAATTTGGAGGACCCATGTGACTCAGAGCTAGGCTTTCTGTGATTACAGAGGTGGGAAGCGGGAAACGGAAGCTTCCTTGTGCGTTTTGGTGTGGGTATCCCAGAGGCCTCAGACTGTAGCTATGCCTGATACTTGTTTTGTAAGCATCTCTAGAATCCAACAGTTCCCTTCACTGTAATAAATGGGGGGGGAGGGCAGGGATGTGGTTGCGATGGGCCTGGTTTCCCAGGGGTGCGTGGCTTTGACTGCCCAACAGAGGCCTGACCATCCACCTGGGGCTCCCCCTTCCCCAAATGGTGCCAAAAGGGGCTTCCCCTCCTGAGTCGATCTGCTCTCTGGACATGCTGGGTGGGGCCCCATTGGAGCTTGTGATGCTTGTTCACAGCCTTGGAATTCTGTCTTTTTGTAGCTGCAGCATTTGCAAGAAGAAACAGAATAGACACTTCATTGTCCCGGCTTCTCGCTTCAAGCTCCTGAAGGTTAGTGCTGAGGGCAGGCGTGAGGAGCCCCTGGCTTCTGGCAGGTGCCCAGGGGCAGGCGGCAGGGAGCAGAGCAGGACCTCTTCCTCGATTGTCCTTGTCGTCCCGGGTTTCATGCGTATTTCTGCAAGGTCATGTTATTTTTCCCCCTTTATATTTTTGATGCATATTTGATAGTACTGTGGAAACATTAAAAGACAATCAAAAAATAATATGATCACTCAAATCCTATCAACCAAAAGTAACCACTGATTTATTTGGGTATATATCCTTGTCCATTATTTTCTACCTGGTAAATGGAGCTAAATAATGATGATGACATTGTATATGTCATTATCAAAGTAGGATTTTGTCTTTCGTTCTGCTCTATGACCGACTTTTATTATTTCCCACTGAAGAATATATGACTTAAACAAATTTTTTAATGGTGAATTCAAAATTTCCTTGAGGTGCGGCTGACGTGTAACATTATTAGTCTTAGGGGTACATCAGAATGATTCAATATTTGTATATATTACAAAATGTTCAGCACAGTTAAGTCTAGTTAACATTTGAAACCAAATATAATTAATTACAAAATAATTTTTTTTCTTGCAATGAGGACTTTTTTTTTTTTTTTTAGATTTTATTTATTTATTTGACAGAGAATGAGATCACAAGCAGGCATAGAGGCAGGCAGAGAGAGAGGGGGGAGCAGGCTCCTTGCCCAGCACAGAGCCCGATGTGGGGCTCGATCCCAGGACCCTGAGATCATGACCCGAGCCGAAGGCAGAGGCTTAACCCACTGAGCCACCCAGGCACCCAC